ACAAGAAGTTTCTTTATGTTTTCCTTGGGAGTGTGGTAGATTGGTGGACATTCATGGAGATTCGTTTTGGGTGTTTGAGCGTTATGCGTGGCTTGATGCCGTGATGGAATGACGAGCTCAAGCACGCCCCCGATGAATAAAACACGTTTGTCAACACGTTTCTCAACACGTCTGCACGTCTTTACCTACCCCTACGGCCCGTCATGGCCGAGCTGCTCTACACTCCCATCACACACAACTGAGCCACCCGAATTATCGATCACAGCAGCAGGTCAACACGACCGCGGAAGCCACGACACAGGCATGGCTCACGCACGCACGCGAGGTAGTCCTCACGCTGGAATCATTCGACATCGCCACAGGCGATCCCGAGCAGGTGCCATTTGCGCCTGCTGCATCGACCCCTGAGGAGGCGTCCGATGCAAATGTCGGGCAGGTGCTGGCTGCGCCTGCCACAGCTTCGCTACAATCGTTGGAGCGTGCTGTCCCATTGCAGGTGCCGATTGCCCCTGCCACAGCAGAGGAAACCGAGGAGCCTGCTGCCTCCTACGCGAGCAGGAAAAGGACCCACCTGCCGCGATACAGCATGAGGGGCTTGTCGCGTACACCAACGTTTTTCGTGCAGTGGACAAGACAGCGCCTGCCGAGAATACGAGGGTGTTCATCGACACCGCCGCTTCGAGACACATGGTAAGCGGCGAGAGCCCACTCTCACAACATGTAGTCGACTTGGTTGACTGCGACGTCCGCATCAAGGGTTCGTGCGGCACATCCAGCGCCACCAAGAAAGGTACGCTGAAGTTCAAACTCAAGAATGACAAAGGTCAACCCGTCCCGATAGAGTTGGAGGTTCTGTTTGTGCGGGACCTTGGGGCAAACATATTTTCTGTCGGAGCGTTGGATGAGAAGGGGGTGAAGACGGATCTACTTTCGGCACCTACGGCCCTGCGAAGCCGGAACCTGTCTTTCCCCATATCAACAGCAGAGGTGCCTCGAATGTACGTCGTGAATCTCATCCTGGACGACCTGAATCTCGGCCTGCCTAGTTCTCCGCTAGTTTTCCGTGCCGATACCGATGCCGGTGTCTGGCACCGGAGGATGGGACATTGAAATGCGCGCGCCCTGAAGCAGCTCTCGGATAAGGAAGGCACCGGCATCAAGTTCACCAACATTCGACCAGGCCAGATTTTCCAGCCCGGCATTATCACTGGGGCTGAGACAAGAGACGAGGAACCAGAACCGGCAGACACGAACGACGGACCGGACGAAGAACCGCCCGCGGTGCGCAAAAGCGGTCGGATGACAAAGCCGCGGGACCGTCTGAACCTGTTCACGACGGAGCAGGTGTTCGAAACAGAATACGCACTGGTGATCGGAGGTGAGATCGGGAACCTTGGTCAAGGGATACCTGGCCAACTAGGATACATGCCCGCCGATCCACCGAACTACCGCGCAGCGGTCAACGGACCAGATGCCGTTGGATGGATGAAAAGTATGGAGGAGGAGAGTCGCTCCTTACTAGACCACGACGTTTATGAGTGGGTCGATNTCGCGCAGCGGTCAACGAACCAGATGCCGTTGGATGGATGAAAAGCATGGAGAAGGAGAATCGCTCCTTACTAGACCACGACGTTTACGAGTAGGTCGATCCCCCGCGCGATGCTCAAATCATCCCGTCAAAATACATCTACAAATGGAAGTACAACGAGACCGGCATCGCTGTGCGACGGAAATCGAGAATCGTAGTGCAAGGATTTCACGAAGCTGAGACCGGAACCGACAATGCTGCACCGGTAGCGTCTCTCCAAGCCGTCCATCTGATAGTTGCGCATGCTGCCAAGAATGAACTTATTCTTCGCCAAGCCGACATCAAGACGGCGTTCCTCCACGCAAGGATGGAACCCGGATCGAAACCAGTGTACGTCATTCCCCCGGAAGGATTCTCATGCGAAGCGAGAGAGCCAGGTAAGTCTGAAAGCTCAGAGCGTGGCTTTACGGGTTTCGTTTTCCCCAAAAGGCTGGTGGGGCACTCTGCACGATTTTCTCCTGAAGATCGGATTTGTTGAGAGCACCGCTGAACCGTGCTTGTACATCCTGGACGACGGAGATGTGCTCCTTCTCGTTTATGTGGATGACATTCTGCTGACCGGGGAGGGCGAGAACAAAGTGCTGAGCATAGTAGATCAGCTGAATGAGCGTTTCGAAACGGTGGACCTGGGAGGAGCCAGGTTCCTGCTCGGTATGGGAATCAACCGAGACAGAGCCACAGGGACAATTCTTTTGGAACAGGAAGTGTATACCAGCGCAGTGTTGGACAAGTTCGGCATGGCCGACGCGCGTCCGACGACATCTTCGTCTGAGGCTGGACCGGTGTCCGTCTTGGAGGACGAGGTGTTGTCAGCGGAAAATACCGCATATTTCCGCTCCGCCACATGCTCGCTTTTATATCTCCGCAGGTGCACAAAGCCCGACATTACTCACTCCGTGATGGTTCTGACGCGGAGTACGGCGAAACCAGGTCCGAGGGCGATGCAGAAACTCAAACGCGTACTCAGGTACCTGAAAGGGACGATATTAATCGGTGTACGCTACGGCAAGGATGCCGAAGATGGAAACGTCATTACGGCGTTTGTCGACTCAGATTTTGCAGGCGACCTAGACAAGGGCTACTCCACTACGGGAGTTGTCCTGTACTTCGCTGGTGGACCGGTGGAATGGACATCATCCAAGCAAACGGTGGTGGCGACCTCTTCCGTTGAAGCAAAGTTCGTGGCTTTGTCGAAGGGGTGCATCATCATCAAGTACTTCCGCCACCTGCTGGACACCATAAATCAGACTCAAGAAGAAGCAACCGTGGTGTGGGAGGACAACTCGTGAGCTCTGAAATTTGCTCGCAGCTTCTGTATCACCCCAAGGACTAAGCACATTGACGTAAAGATTCACCACGTAAGGTCGCTGGTAGCTGATGGAGTCGTAGCCGTGAAGCAAATATCGACGTCGCTTCAGAAAGCGGATATTTTTACAAAAGGGCTAAACCCGTCGGAGCTTTCTCCGCGCCCGTGGCATGCTGTTACGATTTTGATCACCTCCCCTCTTCGTAATCAGACTTTATGTCTTGAGGGTTGGATGGTGTGTGTATATGTTTAAAGAAGAGAAATAATATTCGGGAGATTTGTGTTGAAGGAAAACATTCGCTGCTGATGCAACGCAGCTGAGAAAGGCAGAACAACTGATAATGAGTCAGAAGATAACATTGTTTCGAGAGGACATGGACATTGTTTCGAGAGGACAGTGAGAGAGAATTGGTTCTGATGCATTGGTACTAGAATGACGTAGTTCTTGAGAGGACATGTTGGAGTAATTGCAGTACGAGAACGACTCTATTCTACTGCATGGGTTTATGCAGTATTGTGAAGGCGTTGCCAAGCCTGTAACCGTCAGGTGAAGACAGCTTGGGCGTCTGTGTGGATAATAATATCACTCTGTGTGTTTGCCTACCTAACCTCGCATCACATGCTAGCTACTTTGTAGCCACAGCTGATGACAGTGCTGTTGCCTCAACAGAGAGGGAGCTTCACGCCTGCGAATAACATGGCGGCGTTCAATGGGGCGGGCTTGTGGCCGGTGAACATGGATAATGCCATCAACCGACTACACAGCAGGAGGAAGCAACGGGAGAATGACCGCCCTATCCCTGAAAACCTCGCCGTCGTTGCCTCCAAGAAGCAGCTCGAAGAAGGTCTCGGCCACGCTGCCCTCCTGGAGCTGAAACGACAGGGAGTGACGATCGAGGGGCTCCGCGTGAACACCGTGTGCCTCGGCGGGCTCACCCGCTTCACCAAGCGCTCCAAGTCTTTCGCGACCGTTCGGGTGGGCGGGGGGAAGCCCGAGGGCGGTCTCCTGTCCGCCGAAGAACACCTTGCTAAAGCTAGGAAGGACAAAGAAGAGAAGGCGGCAGCTGAGAAAGTAAAGGCGGACAACGCCAAGGCCCGTACAGAAGCAAGGGCAGCGAGGGAGGCCAATCTTCGGCAGGGCGGCGGACGGAGCGGCGGGCGGAGCGGCGGGCGGGGAGGCGCGTGGGGCGGGCGGGGAGCTGGAGGGCGAGGCGCAGGGAGGAGTGGGGGGCGGGGAGAGGGGAGGGGCGGGGGGGGGTGTACTCATAGTCGTGCATGCCGTAGTCGTTAGACCATTGACCTCGCATTCCTACAAAGCCGGGACGGAGCACGCCGGGTTCTCACCGGACCAGGCTCTCACATCACCAAGCGCGAAGCGCCGTGAGATATTCGGCGAGTCGCATGAAGGGTGCGCTGCATCCTGCTAAGGATGTTTGGCATCTTGTGCTTACTTCCTTGCGTACGGATGACAGCTTCGTCTGACTTAATATGTTCTCTGGTGCTTTCACTTCCAGAGACAGTTGTAAGCACTGTGTAACTGCCTCGAGGGTGCTTGACCATTTCAACACAACGTGGTGCGATTATCCCCCTTGCGCGGAGTGAGGGTTCTCCACCCCGCACAACATGATCTACTCGAACACCATGATGGTTACCGCCAAAAAAAAAACAGAACAAAAAAAACACCTTGCCGAGTTCACGTAGTGAAATGGCTTGTTTTACATCGTCGTTGCCAAGCGACGAAAACCCAATCCCGATACGGTATCTTCTCAACTCGTCCGCGGGAGGCACAGGCGTCCAAAATCCTGGAGAGGCGCCCAAGAAGGGGAGATCAAAGAAGGACGGTCGAAGGCAGCCTTTTCAGCATCGATCGGGGGCCAAAGAGGAACCCGGAAACCCGGAGGGGTAGCAAGGAAAGTCCCGTCAGACCAAGAGGATAAGGGATTTCAACAACGGGCGCCGGTCGACGAAGAGGAGTAAACACGCGAAGGAGAACGACAGTGGAATTTGTTCCACACGATTTCCACTGTATTCCCCGTGTGTCCTGTTCAGAGAGTTGGGGGGCATATTCGAATGTCCGTGTTCCAGGGGGTAACGAAATCGGCGTAACGAACGAGGATTCATGGAATCGTCTTATGTATAGTCTACGAGACACAAAAAAATCGGGGACAGCAGGGGGAGCCATGCCTTGGCTGCGGCTGGCTACAATCCGTGATGAATTGTATGTAGACACTTGTTTCGTGTGGCGATGCACAACCGAGCGCTCATGACCGCAACTGGAAGTTCCAACGGGTTTAACCTGTGGGCGACGACCTTCCTGCTTGTGCTCGGTCTACTTTTCATCGCTTCTTGCAGCGCGGCGTCGATGAACGTATTTACGTACGTTATGCAGTACTATGCAAAGCGGCTCCAGTACACTGAGAATATATCACGTCGTCACACACACCCTAAAACAGAGCGCCGACTAACGGACACCATGTTTCCAATGCAAATGACATGGTGCATGCACGGAACTGCAACAATTACGGAATGTATGCACATGTATTACCTCAGGTTGGTTTATAAAGTGGTAGTTTTCCTGGACCCGCCCACAGGCCACTTGATAAATTTCTCTCTAGGGCCTGGTTATTTACCCAACAAAATATACATCATTCGAAAGCTATGAACCAGGGCTTTCGAATGAACCCACTTTTAACTTTTAGCCTTCACAAACACCTTGGTGATGAGTTATGCCGAATATACCGTTTCACCAAAAACGCGGCGGAACCGGTAAATTACGATTTGTCGTGCCCCCACCACCGCTGTGAAAAAAAAATATATAAATATTTTTGGAATCCTTGAAACAAACTGGTTCTAAATCACCTGGTTCAGAACTCTTTTTTGCCAGGCCCTAGACAGAAATAAGTTTCAAATTTCAAAAAAATCGCGGCCGAACCACCGCTTGGGCCGCGTCGCACACAGCCGCCGGTAGNAATGGCGGAGCCGCTGGATCACGTCTGGGAAGCCACGCGACCGCGACGCGGTCGCGGAGGGAATCATCTAGACGAGGTGACTGCTGCTGACTGGGATGCCGTTCAACTCAAGAACTCAGCGTACG